CGCGCCCCCGCTCCCCGACCGCCTACCGCGCCCCCGACCCGCGCCAGCCCGACCCCGACCGCGCCACCACCTCCGCCGCCCACCACCGGCCGCAGACGACCTCGCCTCCGAAAGTACAAGTAGTCACACAAAAAATACGGATCCCGAGCACTCCACCGCCGCGACCCGTCGAACTTAAATATGTTAACGGAAACGTGGAGTCGCTAATAAAAACTACCCCGAAGATGTCCGTTCCGGAGCGAACCAGCAAGAAGAGCCAGCTGCAGAGCCCGAGGTCGGCGAGCCGGTCGCCGTGCAGCCTGTACGGAGTGAAGAAGGCCGTGTACAGAGTGTACGACAACGGAGACTGCGGCCTCGACCCGCGCCTGCCCAGCATCGACGAACATTCCAACATCGACGTCAACGACGCCAAGAAGATGACGAGGAGTAAAACTGTGAGGATGCCGTGTGTCAGGAAGGTGAGCCTGGACGAGGACCGGGCCCTCAGACACAACACCTGCCCCAACAGACTCGGCGACAAGCGCGCAGAGTTCTACAGGAAGGCAGGCGACGGACTACCCAGGTGAGGGTACACCTCGTCTCTGAACCAGCTCTGCTACAATACTACATTATATTACAACATCTAGGACATGCTACACCATGGTCGATAGATGTTAATTAGCTTAACTGACACACTTCTTGTTATCCACCAATTAGACTAACATAAACTTAATCTAAGCTAGTGAAATAGGGCTCACTACCTACTAGCCTACTTGTTAAGGAGACGCCTCGCTCGAGTAGTTTCTGTGTGCCAGGTATTTGTATCCCCACCCCTTGCGTTACAGTTGGCGAGCTAGCGGCACGCTGGGGACGCCGCCTCCGAGAATCTTATTACAGAATAATGCCACAACCATCAAACGAGCCTCCTTAGGGTAAACAAACCTTTTCTAAACATTTTACATAATATTAGCTATTTTGATGTGCTAGCTAACATCTTTACAATCATGCATGTATTTTAGACAACTACCTACACAGATATGTTTCTGACAAATTGGAAAAATTTTAGAATATTAAATAATAATAATTCTTTATTCATATACCAACATCTAAATACATCAAGCTCTGTCTCCTGAACTAGGCGTTGCCTGTATCTCAGGAGGCAGTACCTTCCCGTTACATTTCTGGTACGAATAGTGGTTACAGAACAGAAGGCTTAAAAACAATTACAGTGACATTATGAGTAACAATGAAGGGATAATAAAAGGAATAAAGTATTGATTTCAGTATGTATGCATATAAATTTAAATAATAGAAATAACATTTAATAATAGAAATTCGACATTCTTGTAATTAGCTGTTGGATGTTCAACTTTCAATGTCGATTTTTTATAAAGTAGTTTAGTTTATAAGTTGCAAATGTTTGCGTATACAGCAACATCGTGAGCCCGCACTCGTCGTCCAACAGCCAGTGCCGCAGCGAGCGCGCGCTGCCGGTGGGCTGGGCGCGCGCCGCGGCCAGCGACGGCGCGCACGTGCAGCGACTGCGGCGCACGGCGCCCATGAAGTGACTGCAGCACAAGGCGCCCATGTAGTGACTGCAGCACACGGCGCCCATGTAGTGACTGCGGCACTCGGCGCCCATGAAGTGACCATCACGTTAGCGGACCGCCGCGCACTACACTAACCGTCCCGACACAATCTCGCGGTTAGTCGTCAGTGTGCAGCGGACCTTAGTCAAAATTTCGCGTACTACCTTCGATGTAATGTTAAGCGAATGAAGCACTTTTACTATATACTACGCTCGACTTCCAAGTAATCTTTTTTGGACTAGTATTTTTTGTTACGTTTATAATATAATGCGTTTTACATTTTAAATACTAAATAATAGAGTGTTATGTTATGCTTGTTGCATGTATTTTATTGAAAGATTAATATAAGATGTGCATTACGATATTGTATTTTTATTTATACTTAGTGATGCGCCCGCGCCACGGCTTCGTATAGTGATTTTACATGTGTAGTTTTTAAACCGTGACATTTCTCGAGGGGGGGCATGTCACAGAAGTCATAAATGTTCAATTTAAGAAAAGGTTTCTGGCCAATAGTTAAAAATGCGGCTATAATAAATTGTTTAAATTTGACAGTATTTCAGAATAAGTGACAGCAAATAACATAAACAGAATCGCCCGACATGTCAATGTGTACGTAGCCAAACAATGGTCAAGACAGCGTGAAGGTGGCGCGGGGCGGTGCCGAGCGGGGCGGTGCCGCGCGGGGCGGTGCCACGCGAGACATCGCACTCGAGTACTTAGAAAGCGAAAAACAATAATCTTATACATACATTCATGATTTTTAATTGATAATAACATTTTTAATAATCCTTGAATGCAGAAACAATCAATGAAAGTAGTACACGTACCTATCTTCAAAGAAAAGTTCACGTAGGTACCAACGTTAGTCATCAGCTGATTCGTAATACTGTGTAATGCTTTACTTATTACTTTTTATTGCAATTCTAGTGAATATTAATAATTCTAAAGTTAGTAATTTAAGGTCTGAATAATAAATAAAAACACATAGCTGAGTACTAGTATGTAGGATCCAAGCGCTGCGGGCATGATTTTAGGTAATAACGCATTGTAGGTAATTTCAGTCCAAAGTTTCATTCGTGTATTTTCTTTCCTATTTATGAATTCATATTCCACGTAGATACCTACGGTAGTTACCAGCTAGCCAGCTGATTCGTGATTTCTAATACTAAATGCATATCCTGTTGAATAGGTACAAACAATTTAAAACTTAGTACCTAATGGGTCTGTGGGTATCCTTAAAGACGGAATGCACAAGTAAATAAATTACATATCTACCTGTGTCACTCGGAGATTTCGTTCAAAGTCTTCATCTTCACAATCTACCTATGCACAGTAACACAGTTATGCACTACGTCATTGATTGGACTATGCAACACTACGACATTTATTTTTAATGTGTTTTAAACACTGATCACTTGCAGTCTCTGGGTAACAGCCAGCATGCATGACTTTCATGTCAGGCTTGTGTTGGGAGTTTAGGTACGATGCGATTAGCTCGATACAGATTGTTTTCACTGCAACTGGTGGCGTAAAGGTGAACTTTGACAATAACAATGAGTGACACCAAGTACAAGGTTATGCAAAATAATTTCGAAAATTCTACCCCCTGCAGTGCTGAAGCACAAACTAAATGTGTGTGCGCTGTAGGGGTGGAGCCGGCGGAGCGTTCGCGTTTCTTATTGGAATTTTAGAGAATTAGCAATAATATCAATTACGTGTTTTAATTTGTGTGTTAACGTTATAAAGCTAGTTACAAGACGGCGGCGTGTAATCAGCCGTAGTTCGCACTTACGGACTTCCGTAATTTACAAAAAAAAAATATAATAATTACCAACACTTTAACAAATTATTTATTGATTCGAACTCAGAATCGGTAGCCGAGTTACCTCCTAAAGAATGTCACGATTTACGAACGACACTTTGTATAGTGCTTTTCTACTATAATATTCGTATTACACAGACATATAAACGGTGCATCTGCTCATTCCCTATGGTATAAAACAATACTGACCGTGTGTGGAGGGCGCGGTGTCAGTGGAAGGGCATGTGCGAGGGGTTGGCCATGGTGGCCATGCGGATGTACGTGGTGTGTGGCCGGGACTGGGGGGGGGAGTCGCCCGGGACTGGCTCGTTCTTGAACACTGCCACGCACTTCCACTGGTTCAGGTATTGCACTGTAACACACGCAACATACGTCAATATACACAATTCTCTATTTATTGTCGGGTTGTGACGAAATACTAGAATACATTATTTGGACATAGTTATGCAGAAACGTTCCAACCCACAAGTCACCCGACATCAAGATAATATGATCATGATTTAGGTCTTAAATCTTGGAACCTTTTTGCCTTTTTGCTTTTAGCTGTTATAGTTATAAAAGGTACTAAGATCATATTATCTCCATTTCGGGTGTACATGTGGATTGGAACGTTTCTGCATAACTACGTCCATTTGTCACTTTTCCCACAGATGTAGCAACAACTGACTAATGGTCGTCACATACATTAACGCACGCATCACTGCGGCACGTCGTTTTTTGCTTTTGGTAACAATACAAAGGGCTGGACGGCGCACTGCCAGCCTTTTTGTATTGATGCCGACGTTTGACTACTATCTCCCATATCTACAGCTGCATCAGCTGTAGCCAAATGCCACTTAGCGCTTGTCTACAGAGAGAGTAGAAATCAAAATGTATGGGGATGACACTGACAAGTGTCAAAATTTACGTCAATTTCATATAATTTGGTTTTCTATTCTACATGTAGATAAGCGCTAAATGGCATTTGGCTACAGCTGCTGACGTTAAGCGATGGTGCGGTCTAAGATAAGACATAAGATTTAATGTTCTTTACATGATAAATAAATAGCTGGGTTTTTTATAAGGGGTCATTCGATGATTTTGATGATGATGATGAAAAAAAAATAGCTGGGTTGAGCCTTAAAAGAAGAGAATTTAACAAGATGTAGAAGAAGCAATGACGAAAAATCATCAGCAGATTATAATGAATATACCTAGTATGTTTATACAGAAAGACACAGACCCAATCCCCCTTCCTCATCCTCAATGCCCAAATTGCACCTTTAAACTGTCAAACACCAAGCAGTCACCGGTGACCGCAACCTATTGTTCTATAATTGTGTCTATAATGACGGTACTCGACGAGTTAAAGTAAAACTGTTATTAAACGAAAATTTTAATGAATTGAGTTAATGTCATCTATTTAAAATATAATAGTAAATTCATGTATTGTAAATATTCAATTCGAGAAAATCTTCGTTTAACCCGTCGTGTGTCTAAACGTGGATCCACGAGAGAGACAATGTATTTTCTATTGTGTCTTATATCGATGTATTCAAGCGATCAATAACAGTTTTAACTGTAACTCCTCTAGTGTTGCAGGTGTCGATTGTGCCGATTGCTTACCATCAAGGAAATAGGAAATGGATGGTTAATATACTGACTCTTCCAGAGCCTGACGGCGCAGTCGTCCCCGGAGGAGGCGAGCAGAGTGCCGGTGAGGTTCCAGCAGACCCTCCAAACACACGAGTAGTGCTCCTCGAAGGCGGCCACCACCTCGCACTTGAACCGCACCGCCGCGCCGTTGTTGCCCGCCGCCGCCGACTCACTGCAACATACATCATTTTATCAAGTTTTTCCAATTAGACAGCCATGTTTACGTTACCCAACTTTTGTCGTTTAAGTGAGGTTACCGGAGACTAAATCCTCTTATTGGTCGATGTTCATGATTTCCACTTACGCTATTGGCTCTATCTTGATGATGCGGACGTCTTTGGTGGCGACTGCGAGTAAATGGAAAGATCTGCCGAGGTTGGGGGCGAAAGCAATGTCGTTGACGGGCTCCTGTACCGAGGACAAGCAGTCTGTCCGCGTCCAACGACGTGACGATTCACTGTACCTGGAATATTTAGTAATTGTTTTATTTAAAGAACGAATATATTAGACAGACTGATATTTTACTTAAAAAACAACAAAGTAATGACATTCAGCTCCTTTTGTGTTTCTTTATTAGATTTCCAACTTTATAGTTTTCTTACAAGGTCGAAAATCCAATAAAAAAATTTACAGATTCTAATAAGTTAGTCACTGTAAGAAAATCAACTCCATTCCTGTAGTTGCCACTATAGCTAGGCAACTGGATGCTGCGCAATGTATCCCGGGTTCGAATCCCGCGCAGAACAATACTTCTTATGAACTTTTTTTTTTAAAGTGGGAAAATCATCGAATGACTGCTCCCGCCTGGGTGAGGCGGGAGGGAGTGTCAGACTCTACTGACTAAAACCACCCCGTTCCTTCTCCTGCATTTTGAGCCGGAGCTCCGGTTACCCGTTAGGTCCTCAGCGACACTTCTTATGAACTAGCGAACGAAGATCTTCCACAGATTGTTGTTTCCGGTTTGGGCGTGATGTGTGTGTGAAAAGTCAAAGTAAAAAGTCAAGATCATTAATTTTAATTACACTAGGAAGATACTTTTGGACATCAACGAAATGAAAAAAAAACTAATTTTAAAAGGAACAAGGTTTATCAGAAAACGCTGTTGCCCGGTGTCAGTTAAATTATAGTCACTTGGCTCTTACGTCGTCCGCGGGAATAGAAGGGGTGGTAACAAATCAACAAATGCACTATACTCTGCTGTCAATACTCACTCGTATATGAATACTTTTCCGTTGCAAGCAGTCGTCTTGTCACCCTGCACTGAGGCCGCCGCGTTCGTAGTATTGGGCTCATCACTGCCCACCGCCAACATCGGCGGGTGCACCACTCTAGTTATTAAAAAAATAAAATAAGCATCAATCACAATACACATACTGCCGAACATAGCAATGACTTGATCGATATTATTGACATACAACCTTATTCCTTAGATTTTAAGAAACAAATTACTCAAACCGGGATAAATTCAGAAGTAACTGAACAGATACCTACATATATGTGTAAATACTGCTATTTCGCCAGAGTATACCAAAATTGATTGTAATGTCTATGTCTTATAACTACAGAGTAATTGGACTTTTTTATTATCATAAATTTTTAAATATGTTGTGAAAGGTAATTGTTTTATCTCAATCCCTTCAGACATTGAATGTAATTGAGTAACATATACATACACACAAAATGACATATTTTCGCATTCATAATATTAGTAAATAGTAAGATTGTATTTACCTGGACAGTGAAGGGTTCCACGAGAGACAACTGATAGACACTTTAGTTGGTATCTCATGCTGTAGAGTCCATTGCGCAAGGTTCATCACATCTGGAGCTTCGTATATCCTGGAGTTTAACATTAAGTATAAGAAAAACAAAAATTACCCGTCATGTGTAGCATAAAGCTGCTATGATTATGAGCCCCAGTGTGGCTTGACACTAGCCGAATTCCCTCATATTGTGTCGTTCCCTAAATATAACCCTTTTATAAAAATACTCCTCTTCAAAATTTTCTGATTGATGATTACAGTAAGCTGATATTTTGTATGAAAAATTCTTCGGTGTTAACCAATCAGCGGGACATTTTTGTGATAAAATGTGGTCAAACCTAGACTAATACTGCTCTCAAACATCATACCTTATAATACCATCAGCAGAGCATGTGACTAGAAGGAGCCCTAAATGCTTTGGTCCAAATTTGACGTCAGTCACTGAGGTCCGTGAGTCCACGAGGTTGGACCTCTTTAGCCAAGTTCGCAGACCTTTCTCAGACCCTGAAGCTGCAGTGTCACCTGCAAGTGATTAGACCAGGTTATAATAATGCAAACCATTTGTTTTCATGCAACAGGTTCAGAAAATTGTACAGTTTAGGCTCATAACCTTATAACAGTAGTATTTTATTAGACATTTATCTTATTAGATTCAATTATGTTATTCATTCGTTTACAATAGTAAACTATACAGGCAATATGAACATTTTCTTTTGAGAATTTATATTTAAACAACTAGCTGCTTGTAATATAAACATAAATTAATTATTAGTCTATTCTATTACATTCCAATTTGATCCTATACAGATTTTAATAAGGTTTTTTTGGTTGAATTGTAAAACATGCTTGCAAAAGATGAGTCACACTAGGTGGTTTTTATAATCTTATATTTTATACAAAAAATATTATGTTCCTCTTACCAACTTCCTCCCAAATGGCTGCCGTCCTATCAAAGGAACAAGTAGCAATGACCTGCCCAAACTCTGGATGGGCCCATGTGACCTTCCATACCGACCCATGATGTGCCTTCCAGCTGGCTGTGAGACGCCATCCACCGTTCCCATCAGAATCCCATACCTTCAACAATTTTTTTATAAATCAACATAACTTTGAGATCAAAATGAGTAAAGTTTATTTTTATAGTTTGGAAATATTACATAAATTGCTCATTAATTCCAATTAGCAACTACTAGTTATATTATCTCTTTATTTGTTAACTTAGATAAATACAAATAAGTAGGTAACTATTGTTGAAATTTGCCTAAAAAAACTTCCATTAGGAATGAATTAACTAAGTAAATTATGATTGTGAGGTCTTTGTGACATGGTAATATCATGTTATCATCGTTTTTGCGACTACTATAGGTTGCCGCGGTTTTGTTTGCTAACAATTCATACCTTCACATACTGGTCGCTGGAACAGGTGGCCATTCTCTCACCGTAGAAATCATATGCAACATCGTGGATCAAATCCTTGTGATCAGCAAGTATAGTTTGGGACTCGAACAAATTTGTTGCCGTTAATTCGCCCATTTTTATGTAAAACAAATCTTAAATCTATTTCAAAACTACTACTTGCTAACCCCACCACTTAGCATGACAGAATTTCGCATGATTTCAAACATCTACTGTCAAAGTGTCAAACTACGTTTAGTTGTCACAACCAACAAGCAAAAAATAAATATAAAAAAAAATAGTTTGTATTCTAAGTTAATACTGAAAACATACTTGTATAACTACTTATTTATATTAAAAATATATTCATACTATGCTAGTGGAATAGCAACTTCATACGAACTTCCTATTATTTGAACGTGGTGTCGAAGTTCGCACGTTTGATCAGTAAACAATAGATAATATCAGTCAAAGCCCGACCGGGAAATCGAATCCAAAACCCAGAACCCTCGCTCAGCAGTCGCGTTTGCACCTACTCGTTACAAACATAACAATAGACGATTAGCCACTTTTTTAATAAATAATAAACTTACCCAGTATGTTGCGTGCGAATTGGTTCCAGATAATCAATTTTTACTAATCTCACTTTGAATAATATAGCATACCACGAAATGAAGCGTGCTCTCTTATTATTTTCACGACACGCACGATTTAAAATATAACATTTTTAGACGAACATATTGTGGGTATGTGGGTACCCACGTAGTGGGTAGTTAATACTATTGATGGTTGGTATCGATAGGCCTGGGGTTCGATTCCAGAGTATGGTACCAAAGAGTATAATCAATTTAGGAGATGTTAGGTTAGTAACTGTAGGTACATAAATCAAACTACTGCTCAGTGCTAAGCACATAGCATCATAGTAATACTATGTAATAGGATGGAAAACTTCATAAACTACTGAAAAAAGAAGAAATATACAATCAATAAAATACAGAGTGTTAGAAAACTGTTTATTGAATCCACATCTACTTATTATGTAACTATTAACAATCAAATTAACAACAACGAAATGCAAACATTCACAGCATTTAGTTACAAACGAGCTAAAAATTGATTATTGTCCACTAATAAAATACTGGTTATTTGTGAAACATTATATTTCTCTAATGGCACTGGTAAACTAGTTAAACTTCATGCCTTATACATGCAAATTCATTTTATTAATACATAGATTTGGCACTATAAGTATTTAAAGGAATGTTTATTCCTTATTTTCAGTCACAACAATTTATTAATTGCTTAACATAATTCAAATTTTGTGATACAATTTCATAGCTATTAACAATTAACTTTAAATTTTTTTAAGGAATATATGAGATTCTATTTTAATTATTTTTTTTAGCTAAAGGTTATCCTTGTAGGATCTAGAGAGCACTAGAAATGTTAGACAATAAAGATAATTATCAATGTTGACAATATTATGCGTGTGAATAGTATACCTAATATTACAGTGTTGCACAGACCTTTTTTGGAATGTTGATTTATTTGCACCAAATTGATATAAATCCAAAAACAATTTATATTATCAATCAAACAAATCTGGCAACACTCAATTAATCACATAATTTAATATCTTGAATTTTGAATACTTATATTTAAGCAAGTTATAAATAACTCTGCCTAGCTTTCAGCTGATCAATTTCAAAGGCAAGTTTTCTATTTGTTTCAACTAAAGCATTTTGAATATGCATCATATTCTGTAATTGCTCACTCATGCCAGACAGTTGCTTCTCCAAATACAACTTCTGCTTAGTCAAAGCCATCATAATGTGAAGGAAATAGTTCCTGTTGTCGTCAGCCACATCCCCTAGAGTTAGTTTGATGAAGTCTTTTAGATCATCAACAGCCTTTGACTCCACAGCCAAAGCTTGGGTTGAGTTTGATGGCTTCAAGAGTGACAAATTAACATTAGAAACTCTTTCATCATCAGGAACACCATTTGTTATCACAGGTGAAGAAAAGCCCAAATTTTCAGTAGTACGACTATTTATAGGAGTTGACACTTTACTGATATTTTTTTCTGCATCTAATTGACGGTATCTAATATCATGTCTGTCGCTCCTTCTCTCAAATTCTGTAGATTTATTGGCTTCTTCTTCAAAATCATTAGATTTATCAAGGCCCATCATAACAAGAAACGAATCTGCTTTAGCATCACCTCCTTGTGGAGAAATATCAAGATTATTAATTCTAGGTGGGGAATCCGAAACAAAGAACATATCTGAAGTTCTATGATGGCGGACAGGGGAAGAATTTTTATGTGGTGACTGACTATTATGGATCTCTATTTCTTCACGAAGACTAATATCTGCTGATATCATCTTACGTCGCATTGGTTGAAATGCCACTTTGTGGACCTCTTCTTCATGACCTTTTAATACCTTAGAGGGTGCAGTAAGATCCCTGAGATCATACATTAGCACCAGGCCATTTTTAGTACCAAGAGCTACCTGATTTTCAGAATTAATTGCTAAAGAAGTCAAAGTGTATGAGGTTCTTATTGTTGATACTACATTCTGCAATCGAACATCATAGACATGCATTATTTTGTCATACCCAGTAGAGAGCATCACGTCTTTATTTATGAGAGAGTATGCAATATCACTGACTGGAGATGCATGGACATTTTCAAAGAAGGCCTTGTCTTTATTTGTAGTGATATCACGTATTACAATATGGCCTTCGTCAGTGGCTAGACCAAGTAAAGATCGGCACTCATGATGAAACTTCATTGCAGTGATACTTTTAGAGCAGGAAAGCTTCACTGTTAGCACAGGAATGTTAGATACAAGGCCATAGATAACTGTATCCCCATTCTGCATAGATGCAGCTAGACTAGTGTTCTTGGCATTGTAACTGACAAAATTGACACATGACTGTTGGCAAGGAGTTGGGAATGTTTTAGTTATATTTTTGTTCTTAGTGTCCCATATCATTACATTTCCACTTTTAGTACCAATAGCAATGTTACGGTGACCATCACGATGAAAGCTTGCAGACCAAGTGTCTTTTAATGGTATATGTTGTAGAGTCCTGATATCATGATCAGCTGGGCTCAGTATCTCTACTACACCCTTAGAATTGACCTGGAACGAAACACAATACATTGGTACATTTTACCCAATGATACAATTTTGATACAATTATTACCATAATGATGACTGAATTGAACCCACAGAATTTTTACCTTGTTACAGAGTAATTTTAGGCATGCTCTCTGACTGTCTGAGTGTAAGTAGGTTTACAACTACAAATCAAATATTTTATATACAACCATTGTATGAACTCGAACAATGGAATACTTGGCACACCCAGAGATTATAATTGATTCGAGGCTATACAAACACAATACTGTACTGTTGCCTAACTCTATAGGTGTGTTTTTAAACAAGTTTGGTGGGACATATTGATTTAAAAAAAAGTTAATAAGAAGAACATACCTGCAATAAATATTTACTATCATCGCTCCACGATATATCTCGCAATAAGCCTTCATAACACCAATAACTTTTTTTCAAATCCCAACTGTTGGTGTCGTACAAAAGTAACCGGGAACTTATTGAGGAGAAATACATTCTTATGCTTACAGTTGAAAGCCCGGTTACCGATAAGAGCTTTCCCCTCTAAAATGCTTTAATTGAATATATTTATTAAATTAACATAATAAACAAAGTCGCTGAAAACAAATTGAAAACGTAAAATTTTGACAACTTTGACAATATTTTTTTGTGTCAGTGTTGCTATAATAACTAATAGAGTAACAGAATAATGATCGTTCGTAGATACTATTTCTTTTGTTCACGTAACGTTTTTGCTTTCAATCAAAAGTAAATTATTGATAATACGAAGGCATTTTTAATACGTTAATACTTAAAAAATGCCGCTTAAGATGCTATGGTCATTACCGATCAATCAATATTTCGTTTTGTTTTTTATCATATTAGCTGTTACATTCCAGTGACCTATGCGTGTGATATGTATGTTTTAGAGCATTACTAGAAATTACATTACTTAAAATCGTTAAGTGGTATTTTAAACACTTTTGTGTCGTTGTGGCCCCTAAATTCCAAGACACTACCCTTAACATCTCTAAAAGTATAAGTATCCTTGGTGTCGACATATCTAGTGACGTCCAGTTCCGTAGTCACTTAGAAGACAAGGCCAAGCCGGCATCTAAAAAACTCGGTGTGTTAAACAGAGCGAAGCGGTACTTCACGCCGGGACAAAGGCTGCTTTTATATAAATCGCAAGTTCGCCCCATTTGGAGTACTGCTCTCATCTCTGGGCAGGAGCGCCAGCATACCAGCTTGGACCTTTGACGCGGTCCGGTATAAGACTTGTTGATGATCCTATACTTACGAGCGGTATCGAGCACTTAAGTCTAAGGAGAGATTTTGCCTCCTTGGGCATGTTCTACCGCTTGTATAATGGGTTATGTTCTGCGGAATTATTTGATATGATGCCCACGACCACTAAACGCGACGATAGCTCTTGTCGATGTGATAAAATAAAAATGCGAGTGGACTGTATATAAAATGTAATGACTAGTATAAGAGCGGAATAACAAGATGTAGATAAGAATTTAGTAACAAGTAAAAAAAATGCGTAAGCGCAGCCGTGCGTCTAAGCATGCAACAGCTGACTGGCGCGACGCGGGGCGCGGGCTCGGCTGTAGACCGGCCGGCGAGCCGCAGCCCCCCCGCGTCCCTCGTTCACTGCCGCTGGTGCGCGGGCGCGCCCGGCGTTGTTGAGACAGGTGCCTCAACAACCACTTTTTATCATCGCACCGCTCGCCATCGACAGGGGGTTCACGCTCACTCATTGGAGCCAAAATGATCCCGTACTGTTACCGTTCGGTTTCAGAGGATTTTTCTCCCACGGACCCTCCGATTGTGGATTGAATGAGCTCCCTGCCGTGGTTTTCCTAGTGAGCCACAACATGAGGTTCTTCAAGAGGGCAGTGAATAGGTTTCTTAAGGGTAGGCAAGACGCATGTAATGCCCCAAGTGTTGCAGGCGTACATAGGCCACGGTAACCGCTTACCGTCCGGTGGGCCGTGTGGTTTTTTGCCACCGTCGTGGTATAAAAAAAAACTCAATTGTTTCACTTTCATTTCAGACAGGTAAGTGGTGGAAATAAAAAAAATAATTGTGTTTCAAAGACCAAAAAAAAAATTAGTAATACATTATTCAAAGGGAATACTAAAAAATAATATTTTACCACACATTCCAAATATGCTTAAATTCATCATTTTTGTTTTTCCTATCTAACTTTTGACAGTGACAGCGACTGTGACTGACCGCTGACGTGTACTTGTTTTTATTGCGGCATCCCGGACTGCATCGTATTTCTTGCAAAAAAGATTTTCCAAGTCTATTAAGTAAGTATTCGGTGAATTTTACACACTATCTCAATTACCGTTATGTTTCTATTGTTATTGAATGATTATTAATATTAAAGTATAAAAGCAGATTTTGTACTCGCAAGCACGCAGTTCATTTTAGATAATAATAATTATATCATTCAGTTTAGACCACAAATAATACGTATGCAGGATTATAATATTTATTACTTGAATAAATAAGTTACAATAATTCAATTTACATTTAGAACGCAGGCATAAACTGTGCTTGAAAGTCAATGTTTAAAAAGCGTAGTTGAATGTGTAGGACAATAGATAGCCTAGGTAACCTTTTGTATTTGTGTAATTGTACTATATAAGTTCTAATTTAATTTTCAGCTACAAGCAGCCATCATGATCACCGACATGCAACTGGCAGTGTTCTCCAACTTTGTTGGAGTTTCTATATTCTTATTAGTAATTCTATACCACTACATCAATGTCAACAGCAAGTAGGTATAATACATCATTCATTGAACATATTAACTATTTAGAAAAAAGCAAGTTTTTTTTTGGTTTCCATCAAACTATAATAATCTCTGAGCCGTTCTATCAGAAATTACATACTTCACAATATAACATCGAGGACTAAGGGGGAGGCCTTTGTCTAGCAGAGGATGTCTTACAGCATTGATGATAATGATTGTGAAAGCTACTTCTGGGTCTTAAATGTAGACACAGATATTTTATAGATTATCAAGACAAATTGCCAAAACAATAATAATGATTTAGATATGTTGTTACATGTTAAATTTACAAATAAAATTGACTTGATAAATTGTATTCATGACTATTGTGAAGTATTGTGCTAAAATATGTTTTTTTTTTGCAGGTAAACATCAACCAGTCAGTTAAAGCAACTATGTGGTAGGATTATGTTCTCTATCTATGTAATAATTAAGATGTTAATAAAATAAGTATTCTCACTAATATGTCATTTTTATTTAAAAAATATTAATATTATGTTTTGTTTGAAAATCTAAAACCGAAATACAAAAGAAAGCAACATGTTCATCCTTACTTATATTATAAATCGGAAAGTGAAGTCAGCTTTCACGCCGTAACTACTAAACCGATTTCTTTGAAATTTTGCAGGCATAAAGTTAAAAGTTTAGAATAATTATTAAGGTACTTTTTATCCTGGAAAAATTTGATATTTCCAAAGGAAAACAAAAAATATGAGTATAGATGGCGCTGTGTGTATTGTTATAGATGGCGCTGTGTGTATTGTTATAGATGGCGCTGCGCTTTATATCATTTATAAAACCAATCAACGAATTACCTACTTATTGAAAAAATCTAAATAGCGCGATATAACCGAATTCCACGCGAGCGGAAAGCTATTTGTTTGTTTACCTGTCTTAAACGGCAGAACGGAGGTACTAATTAACATGACTTTTTAACTGAAGATAGTTGAAGGGGTGGATCGAGTGGATAGTCACATAGGCTACTTTTTATACTTTTGTGACGCGAGCGAAGTCGCGGGTAAAAGCTAGTTCATAATACAGTGGATATTTCAAGTAGAATCTCACTATAAATCCAAACTACATATGTATAACTAGCTACTTCCGCGCGGCTTCACCCGCCCTACTCTACTCCAATTAGTTGTAGCGTGATGTTTTAGCTTTCCTCGATAAATGCACTATTCAACACAAAAATAATTATTAATATTGTACCAGTATGTAGTTCTGGAGATTATAGCGTTAAAAAAAACAAACCCTTCATCTTTATATAGTAGTAAAGTATAGAATCCCAAGGCCTTTCTTTTCTGTAGTCAAAATAAATTACAACATTGTTACCAAAATAATTATTATAATACTGTATTTTACCTTCAATGTTGAAGGTCGGCCGTCAGCTTCTTGTATTTTATCTATTTTAGATAATCCATTGAATTCTTACTAGAATTTTTCTAAAGAGATTAAGGATTTTTTTTTTTAAGGGAAGAAAATCATCGAATTACTGCTCCCGCCTGGGTGAGGCGGGAGGGAGTGTCAGACTCTTACTGACTAAAAACCACCCCGTTCCTTCTCCTGCACGTCGAGCCGGAGCCCCGGTTACTCGTTAGGTTCTCTGCGACAAGAGATTAAGGAATAGGATGTATTTCTTAATCTAGTGCTCAGTAATTACCCATACAATCAATTCGTCTTATCAATGCAATGAAAATAATTTATCTGCGTAACAATTCTTCAGTTATTTGGTACACAATACATTTGCCTTCTATTTAGACAGAGTATAAAAGTTAAGTGTGAAGTTTTCTTGCTAATTCATATTTTTAAGGCGTCACCTCGTTATTGTCAAACAATGATTGCTTATTAATCCCATCATTTTACATTGAGGTATGTTTGCATATCTACTACATGCTGTTATGGCCATAGTCGCACAAATTGCTATTTCGTCAGATAACCGGGTTAAGCTACGGCAGCTGAGATCGATTTGTGGATGGACGACCATCTCTCCTACCCCGACGTTAAAATTTTATAGTTTGTACATAATAATATAAGTGTACATACCTAACTATTAATATTAATCATAATCATAATGTAATTTTAATGTAGATATCGGGTATCAAATCATTCGATGGCTTCTTCCGCATTAGGTTAGGCGAGAGGGAGTGTCAGACTTTTACTGACTAAAAACCACCCCGTTCCTACTCCTGCTCTTTGAACGGGAGCCCCGGCAACCCATTGGGCCTTCCGCGGCTCCGTATCCGGCATCAGCCCTACGGGGCCCCTCTGTAGTGGTTTGATGGCTCTTCGAGAGATATTAGGTACTTGGAACCTATATGTATGTAGGTGTCGCAGAGAACCTAACGAGTAACCGGGGCTCCGACTCGACGTGCAGGAGAAGGAACGGGGTGGTTTTTAGTCAGTAAGAGTCTGACACTCCCTCCCGCCTCACCCAGGCGGGAGCAG